AAGCCAGACATAACAACTGTTTCCTTCATAATCTTATTCTTAATCAACTTCAGTAAAAARACTTTGATGTTCGAAAGCCCACTAAATATAAACGAAAGGGAAAAATGTCCTCATCAATGATGGTTTTAAAATTCTTGTATTTCCGATATTTTTTATTTCTTGCAAAAACAAAACAATKGATTCATCAAGCAGCTATAAATTAATCAAGAAAGCCACAATGGCGGCAATCAATACAACTAAGATCACAAACAAAGCCAAAAGCTCGTTTAACATTCGTTTCGCAACTACTGAGGAATTAAACAAATGATAAATGAATTCATCTTTCACATTCAAGCGAGGAAACGGCACATCCGGGACAGGAACGCCAAGAAACTCACACAGCGGCTGCCAACCTTGCTTAACGTTGTAGACTAGTAGCTTATCCCGCGGGATTGTAGCCTTCACCCTCGCGTTGTGTTGAAGGTAAATTTCAACAAGCCCTTCTTTATCCTGAGCGGGGTATATTTTCCTACCTATAAGTCCCATGAGCGTATTATGTTTGCGGCCGGTTGAAGTCAAGGCACTTACAAGTTTGTTTTTAAGAGAACACATTTCTCTTCTGTATGCAGCATTCGTAGAAAGCAATGACTGGACCCAAATTTCGGCAGAATCTCGTTCCATCAGCACCACCTTTGCATCAGGGAAAGCTTGACTTAGCTCCTTCCAGAACCTTAACGCTGGAGCGTCAGTCACGGCATCGACTTGACTATACATGGCAGTGAAGTCTGGCGTGTCGCCATTTAGAGCTTGAATGTATTCACTCATATACCACATGAGATGTTCTTCAATGTCGTGAACCACAAATCCGAGGAGTCGTAACGCTTTTGCCAACGATTTGGTGCCGGTTTTTGATAATCCTGCACAAATGATCTTCATATTTTGCACACGGTCGGTCCAACTTGCTACGATCAYAGGCTTACCAGACTTTGCAGACTCAATTTGATTTCCTTGAGTTATGCAAATGAGATAATGAAATATCCCAAATTCTTGGGTTTCGAGGGTCTCAATGGGGTTAACCGTGAGCCGTGAAACGACTGAAAAATTAGCCGTGAGTCGTGAAAATGAGAAAAAATTATCCGTGTGGCGTGAATATTTTTTATAGCGTGAGGCGTGATTCAGTATTGTTCCTCAGAAGGACAGTCAACTCCAGGCGCGCGCTTGTAATTTTTTTTAGTAAATTTAAAAAATAAAAGCTTTAGTGGATATTTTTTCAAAAATTTGACTTGAAAAAAAAAATGTTCCCCAAAATCTTCCACTCTCCCCCCTCGCCCAGAAATTCTAATGGATCGCACCTACCAACAAGGTTTCCCAGACAATCAGGGCATGGACAAAATTTGACATTTGAAATAAAAAATTAAAATTAACTGAGTGTCTGTAACGCACAAGGGACACTGTGCTCCCACACTCACTGTATCTCTAGCACAAAACAAATTACATGAAAAAGTGATGAAAAACGTTGTTTTCATTTCAAAAATTTCTGAAAGTAATCTAGTTAACCGTGATTCGAAAAAATTAGTCGTGAGTGGTGAAATAGCCAAATGTTTAACCGTGATGAGTCGTGATTCGTACCACCCCATTGAGACCCTCTTACAAAAATAAATATTCTMTAATATCCTATGATGATGTACACTATAGCCGTTATAACTATGGGTATAATAAAGATATAAGAACAAAAATGAGTGTATACATTTCTTTGGTTCTCGATGTATTAAAGGAACACTGTCAATGGATGACATGCGCAGTAACAGTCTCGCCTCTAACGGACTTTGAAAGTATTACCKTCAAGGTAAATCATTTTGTGGTGCTTTTGACAAACTTTGGAATATTCTAGATCTGTTTACGTTTACGAGCTGATTTATGTCGCGCCAACTTGGAGTCATAAACTTGAAAACATTTWGCCTAATGTTTTCAAGTKCACTCGCGCATGCGTGCCATTCACAGTGTCCCTTTAAAGATTGAATTGTGTCACGCAACGCTGTCACGGACCTATAAAAAACAATTGCAATAGCCGACTTGCGAGTTTTGCCTCAGTAGTCGCACACAAGGGAATCAAGACGAGGCGCCGTGCATAAAGCTCAGTCATTCGTGAAAAGACAATAGTTTTTCACAACTGACTGAGCTTTATGCACGGCGCCTCGTCTTGATTCTTTTGTGTTTGACTACTGAAGCGAAATTCGCAAATCAGCTATTCGATGTGCATAAAATATTTTGCCTCATACATACACATTGTAATGAGTACAAAAATGTTATAACGAAATATATCAAAAAACAGACAAATTTCTGTTGTTTTGTAAACGTTTGAATCCAGACGGTGGTCACTTTCCGCCATACATTTTTACCAAATTTGCGTATCTTCGATTGCTAATAATTCCGCAACCAAGCGCTCTACAATCCTAAATTTTTGTCAAACTATGTAGTTTTTTTATGCTCTAAAAGGACATGAATGTCATGTCTTAATCTGTCTTAATGCGAGTGAAATAAAAATTGTGATGACGTAACTGCAACCCAAGAATACGATGTTGGAAATCAACGCACACAGCGTTCTGCCGATAATCACCAGTCAATTGAAACATCCGTCAATTGAAACATCCGACCCCTGACCCCCGGGAAATACCCGGGAATTTAACGTTTGAGTTCGTGTTAAAATAAGACATTTCCCCCGGTAGCCGGGCGGACATTCATTGTTAAAATCCCCGCTACTGTTGGCCCGCTATTATCGTCTAGTAGTAAATAACAAAACAAACACCTTTCTGTGATACACAGGCCTAGTTTTTAACTCGAAGATTGCGAAGCATTACG